TTTTTTATTATTATAAAGATAAATATAATTTATTTATTTTATATATACAATATGGATGTCAAATCGAAGATCATCAAAAGATGATTAATTTGATATATTATATATATATAATCGATAAGAAATACAAAACTTATCAACTTTTAAAATACATTTACAATTAAATAACTAATTGAAGTAAAAAAATTAAAAGTCAGGGATATATTAATCACTTAATGTCTCACTATGTAAAATTACAAAGAATCAGAGGGTTATATTAGTACAAGTGATATTAAAATACCTAAGTTAGCTATTTAATATTTATGTAATGTCCGAACCTAGATTATTAATTATTAATATATCAATATTATTTGTCCAAACCTAATTACGAAGCATGATTCTTTGCCAAATAGGATTACGAAGCACCAGAAGCAGCCATGTAGGCGCATTCGGGAATAATATATACGGAGGATATGACATTTAAGTTAAAAGTATGTGAAAATATCTATCTAATGTCATTCTACCATTAGGTACCCTCGTACATGCCTCATAAATATGTCATGACCGGTTTGGTATGAGTGTCATTCCATCCGAGACAAGTAACTTTTATTTGAGTTATTGCTCATTTAATAAACGATGTGTCATTCCATCTGAGACAAGTAACTTTTATTTGAGTTATTGCTCATTTAATAAACAAATACAAGACTCACCTCGAGTTCAACTATAATATAATATACCATACCGAGGCAATTTGGCCGTAGGAACCGGTTGTCTGCACGGGGTGAACCAGTAAGTCGATCGGAGATCAAAGGAGCTAAAAGTCGAACAGTCCTGAGGTCGACGAGAAAGCTGCAGGTAGAAATAATCGCAGACAGGTCGAGCTAGGGCCCTCGAATGGCCTGGTAGGAACTCGACTTGAAGGCCCATATGTTGATGTATTGGCCAGAGGAACAAAATGCACGAGCTTAGCGTGGAAGACAATTTACCTCAGAGAAAGTTGGGTCGATCGTATGAATAGACCGTCTAACAAGGAAGACTAATGGAAAATACATACATTTCATATTAGAACCACACGTGAATTGGATTACATGTCCTAACAGAATCGGGCAGTTCGGGCAACTGTTATGCAACACTGGTAGTTCGGGCTAGGGATGCAAATGTGTCGAGCGGCTCACGAGCCGCTCGCGAGCGCTCGAGTCAAAGCTCGACTCGAGCTCGAGTTTGACCGAACTCGAGTCGAGCTAGAGCCCATATTTTGCATTATCGAGCGGGTCGATATATATATATATA